TGCCCCAAACAGAACTGCAGAAGACAGTCTCTGGTCTGCTGATACTCAGCAATAAATCCTTAACACAGCACCTAGAGTGCTGATACTGTGCCAGATTTGAACAAGGACAAGCAGAAGAGTATGCGTAAACCGTATTGGAAAACCTACTAAAGGATTTAGACTACAGAAAATTTAATTATTGCAAGTCAACATACCAGTTTGATACGTTCCTACAAAGAAAGGCCCCAAGCCCCTCACTTTATTCTCTTAAGTATATTAATAAAGATAACTGTAAAAATGGTAAGCTTAACGCTGAGATTAGGAAGAGGGAGGGCTGGTTTACTGTAGAACAGCTGTACTAGATTTATGCTCCTGTCTGTCAACCTTACCACTCTTTTTCCAGAAGAGTTGTGTAACAGCTGCTGAACCATTGTGGTTAAGGACCCAGCATGTTAAATTAACCCATCACCTATTTTAGATTACCTTGGTAGTCATGCTGTAATCTGCAGTGGTTTAGCAGCTGCTACATGAGCAGCTGACCCCTCCTCTGTTGCTCGGGTGGGAAGCTTGTGTAAATGGGAAGGGCAGACAGCTGGGGGTAGGCACTGTTGCAGGCATGCCAGCGTTAGTGCTAATCCCTTCCAAGTCTTAAGGACTCTTAGACTTGATGCTTCAAAAAATCTGTTTTGGAATACATTTAAGCTTAACAAATTGGAAGTATCTCAAACGTGCTTAAATGACGCTATGCTGGGTTTTTGATGTTGTTTCTTTCTGAACTCAGTGTAATATGCCATTGAAAAAACCACTGTCCATTAATCGTGGGGATGAACTACAGAAAAAAAAAAAAAAGAATGGGAGAGAATAATAGGAACAAGTCCCTGGGCTCAGGACAGTTGGGTGATATTTGCATATACAGCAAGAGATCAGATGGTCTTTTCCTGCATTACTAAATTATAATGTAGATAACTATGAACTGTAGATACAGTGATTACAAATTCTTATATTGAGAAGATGAATACAATATGGAAGTTCTGCAGAGTACAGGAGCACATCTGCTTATCAGTAGTGGTGGCAGTAGAACGTTAATTATACTGAGCTGTTAGAGATTTGAACTATTTACTATTTTCAACAAAGTTCATAATCCAAAGTCAGCAAAATGTACTGCAGCCCTACCTAACATTAGTGTTCTTTGGACTGGCCTTGTTAAAGAAAGTAATTTTGCTTTTTTACTGATTTTGTTCTTTAAGGTAGCTATACAACCTACCTGCTAGCATAAAAAACCCACAACACTCCCCTCCCTATCCACACATGTAGTGTGTATATACGTATATAATGCGTGTATGTATCTATATATCATCCTCATGCAGTTACAGTATGTGTGAAAATAATAACTGATTTTTTTTTTAGTACTGAAACAAGTAGATTATAGTAAAAGAATGCTGTCTAGCCTTACATACAGACAGCAGTAGTTCTTTGTCTATGTTGTTAGAAGAGCACATGGTAGGGTGTTATGTTTCAGATTATTCTTTAGCCTCTTCTGAAGAGGCTAAGACAAGTTGTTCTACAGAGTTTACATTGTGAAATTGTATGCTCTGGTAATAATTACGGCTTTTATGGATGAAAAAAACAGTAATAGGAGTCTGAAATATTTTCGTAGAAAATTAATGTTTCACAAATTGCTGAGCTTAGGGTTCTTAAGTAGAACCTCCAGGGATTCTGAGTGTATGTGCTTACTGATTTCAAAGAAAAAAAAAATTGCTCTAATCAGTAAAAAAGTACATTTTCAGAAGATACTGGATATTTTGTCTGCTTGGGATTTGAGTAAAAAAAGCTATGTAAATTCCTGATTCCAAACTTCTGTATGTTTTGGTTTTTTTTCCCCCATGTGGAAAAATGTATGTCTTAAATACTAACAGTACATATGTATTTAGGCTCCTAGTTAATTTTTGTCGTAGTGTGTGAAGGTGTTATATCTAGCTTGAAATTCTTTAATGCACATATTCATACAGACTGCTAATTCAGTACAGAATGAAATTCTTTAGTTTGATAGGAGATTGAAGAAACCTCTTAACGCTGAGAATGTGGGCAAGGGAACTAAGAAACGAGATTTTAGGTGCTTCATATATCAAGGTATATATGAAGTGACTGTCTAGAAAAATGGGTTGTCTCCATTCTTCCATTTAAATCTTTACCTCTCTGCAAAGAATAAACGGTTTTGGCACATAAGGCATGATAGTGAACTTCCCAAAGATATGTTGATTTCACCATGTCATGTGTTCTCCTTTGGGCTAAATAAAGTGGGAAATTGACATTGGAGTACAGAGTTATTCCTTCCACTTCCCGATGTAATGGCTTCGTGCTTGGAGTAGAGAGTTATTTATTCTTCATCCAGCTGATTCTGGCCCCAGGCGTCTTGAATGCTTTTGTGTGTGTGCGCGTTGGTGCAAGTTCAGGCTGTTAGCCAAGTGAAAATTATTCTGTGCTTTACTTAGCACTGGTGATGTGGTATTTGCTGTGAAAGATGGGTTATGTGGCTGCAAACCCTGTCTGACTGAGGAGGACCCAGAGTGACCAGCCAGTGCTTCCAAGTGACAAGGTTTTAGCTTGCAGTGTCAGATGTAGTTATTTATATAGTTATTATATAACCTTAGATTGTACGTTACTTCATCTCACCCTCTTTATACTGCTCCATATTTAAGCTGATTTTTCCTTTAAATTGCCAGAGCTGTTCAGCTGCTGTCTTTGGAGTTCATTCCTTCATTCATCTTTCTTCACATTCTTCTTTGCATTTACACATCTTGTTAATGTGGCTAGAATTCCTCTGAGTAGAGAAATTGGAAGAACCAAGTATTTTTTATATACTTGGTACTTGTACAGAGATGCAGCTTGTACTTCCATACTAATAATGAATTAATGAGAAATAGTTACTTTAACTAGAACAAATGTCTATGCCAAAGACATGGAATGCTGCAGCTGCAGATGTAAATGAGTAAACATGGTAAACTTGAGTTAAAACCAGTAGATTCTATGGTGGAGTTGGTAGTTAAGTGGATGGTTTGTATGGATCTAAAGGGTCTTTTCAAACCTGAACAATTCAGCCGAAGTGGTTCTTTATTATAATGCAATACTTGTTTATAACTGTTAGAATTGAAAATATTTTCAAGTTGTCTTTTGTTGTGTTTGTGCTGAATTACCCATGTAGCTTATGTTCTGAAAAGAAGTTAAACTTTAAATGTTTTTATTACAAAGAATGGAAACTATACTCGCATGCACTAAGTGGATTGGAAACAGTCTGGAGTTTTATGTTTTTGTTAAGTCTGCTTACCGTTAAGTGAATCTTATTTTGCAGTGAAAGCATAGGATTTGTGGAATAATGTTTCAGATTGCCTTCATTGCTCTGAATGAGACATGTCCATAAAGCATGACCAAATTACGAATACGTGTATATAAATAATATAAAATTATATAAATAAGTGTATTTGGAATTATGTTTTCAACTGTTTAATGGCATCATGGAAATCACAGTTCCATAAATGGTGAGCTTTTTCCTTGACCTCTCTGTGATGATGACAGATGTTTAAGTCATGACTTTTTTACTGAGAAATAAATAAACCAGTCATATCATTTGTAACTGCTTGTGTTAACTTTTCTTCCTGACTCCAGTGGTATATATTATTCCTTCTGTTTCATTGAGTTTAAATTCAAAAAGATTAAGTGTAATATTCAGAAGTTATCCTGGGGAACAAAATCAAATAATCTAACATAATTTTACCTATCTTTTTGTTGACTTGATAATTCAATTAAGATTCATCCGGAAGAGCAAATTTGATTACACAAGGAGTTACACAAGCAGCAAGGTCAAAGGTTTAATGTGAGTATACACAGAAAATGCTCTCCTGTTAGTGCAGTTTTCAACAGATGGCTTGCTATCTGTATTTGCACGATATTCCAGAGATGTAGGAAAACTACTGAGTAGAGGCTTTCATTTGTTTCGTCCTTCCAGAGTGTTATAGAAAAAAAATTCTTCAGTGAAGTTCTTTTATTTTTCTCTTCTGAGTTACAGTTCCTGTACTTGAGAAATTCTTACTGTGATATTGGAAGGGTAGCTTGTGCTTACATGAAGTGGTGGGCTTCCTTTGTTCTGTTGGAATGACTGATGAAAAAGAAAAAATTTGTACTGTAAAGAGCTTTAAAAGTGGTTAGCTATGTTCTAGCTGTTTGTTAGACAAAGGTTTTTTTGAATTGTTTGTTTTTTTTTAAATTTGAAAAGCATTACTAAAAATGTGTGTAAAATGTATTACTGCAATCACTATAAAAGCAGGACTTTTTTCTGTTTTATGACCTATATATAGCACTTGCTCTTTGTATTTGTAATAGTGTGTCTTAATAATCTGTCATCTGTTTCTTCTGCAGTACAATACGACAGTGTCTTGTGTTAGAATTACATGAATATATGCTTTAATCTTTTTGCCTTGGAATTTTTTTTTGTTGTTTTTTAATAAAACATTTGATAACTGATACATTTATTCTTTTTTTCTGTTAAAATTCTTTATTATTTAAATCTACATTAATATGTGGTATTCTGAGGAATTTGGGGCATCTGCAGCTTTCATTTCATAAAATCTGTAGGCAGCATCTTGTAGCATCTTATGTTTCACAGTGCATGATAACTATGCAGAGATGTCTAAATATGATTTATTATCTCTTCTCATTGTTAGAATTGAAGTGCTAATAGTAAGGATGATAGTGCGTGATTTTCCTTCATGTAGTTTGCCTTTCCCTAATACCTTGTGCAGTCATTGGTGAGCTTCTTTCACAGGCTTAATCGTATCTATCAAACCGAAGGCCACAGGAAAAAGCCTTTGGACTCACAGTAGTAGTTTGATTTTATGGATGTAAGTTAAATGTTTAAAAAATTGGGTGGTAAATGGGAATGAGATAGTTCTATGGTTAGGAATGGATTTTTTTTTGTTGTTGTTTTCCAAAAAAGTTTACATTTAGTATTTTCTCTTATTTTTCAGGTCTAAGGGTAGCCCAGGATGGCCGCAGCTTCTTATGATCAGTTGTTAAAGCAAGTTGAGGCATTAAAGATGGAGAACTCCAACCTTCGGCAAGAGCTAGAGGACAACTCAAATCACCTAACCAAACTGGAAACGGAGGCATCTAACATGAAGGTATTGCAAGTTCTGTATTCATCATTTGTTGCTGCCTTTTGGAGTTAACTGTCTTGCAGTGAACTGGTCATTGTACAAGTTCTCTATGCTTCTGGAGTCCTACAAAAACTCTCTTATAGGCTGTATAAAATAAAACTGTACTAATCAGATTTAGTTGGTAAAGTGTACTGTTGTTTTTTTTTTTAATTTGGAAATGAAAATATTTTAAAACTGTTTTTAGAAACACCTTCCAGTTTTCATAGCGTTTTTTCTGGTTTGTCATGATAAGCACCACCATTTTTGCACTGCTCTACTTCCCAGCATGAAGACATGGGAGAGACTGGAGATTTTCATTATTTTAGGGTAAGTTTAATGTTTTTTTGTTTTCTTACAGTTACAGTACTTACGCTCAAAAAAAAATTCATTATAAAGTAAAACCACAAGTCTCCAGCCTCTCCCAAGGCATAAACTCAGAGTTCATAATTTCACCCTAATCTGCCCATCTAATATTTAAGGACTGTGTGTAGGCTTTCAAAGCCACCTATCCAACAGGTAGCACTTAGACTCAGATGGAATTAATATGGATTTTAATCTTTTGGAAGATAGGGAAGTAACTGCATCTGTGTGATAGTGGCACTTAACAAGGCAGAATTTCACAAGCATTCTAGCTGCTCTTCCTGAGCTCACAAATCCTGCTTTTTGCTAGCAGTCAGCAGAACTGATACATAAGCTGGTATCATTGGAATATAATCCCAGGTATGTATATGGACTGGGGGAAGATTTACTTGAGGGCAGCCCTGTGCGGAAGAACATGGGGGTCTTGGTGGATGAGAAGCTGGACATGAGCCAGCAGTGTGCACTTGCAGCCCAGAAGGCCAACTGTGTTCTGGGCTGCATTAAAAGAGGAGTGGCCAGCAGGGAGAGGGACGTGGTTGTCCCCCTCTACTCAGCTCTACTCAGTATTCCATCTGGAATACTGCATCTGGAGTACTGGGGTTCCCAGTGCTAGAAAGACACAGAGCTCTTGGAATGAGTCCAGAGATGGGCCACTAAGATGATCAGAGGGCTGGAGCACCTCTCTGTAAACAAAGGTTGAGGGAACTGGGATTGTTTAGCTTGGAGAAGCAAAGGCTCAAGGGAGATCATCTTGTGGCTTTGCAGTACTTGAAGGGAAATATAAACAGGAGGGGTTATGACTGGTTATGTGGATTGATATTGGTAGGATAAGGGGGAGTGGTTTTAAACTAAGGAGAGATTTAGGTTAGATATTAGGAGGGATTTTTTACTCAGAGGATGGTGATGCAGTGGACCAGGTTGCCCATGGAGGTTGTGGATGCCCCATCTCTGGAGGCCAGGCTGGATGTGGCTCTGGGCAGCCTGGTCTGGTGGTTGGTGACCCTGCCTTGGCAGGGGAGCTTGAAACTAGATGATCTTTGAGGTCCTTTTCAACCCAGGCTGTTTGGTGATTCTGTGAATATCTGCGTATGTGTTGGTCACTCTGAAAGTAATGCCCTCCTATTTATTTCCATGAAAAGTACAACAAATACACAGAGCACAGATACACAGAGCAATGCTTTTTGATGGAGCAAATTCCCAGATACAAATCTCTACTTTTCAAAGCAGTCACTACCATTAGCCATGCATTTTTCCCAGCAGTGAACAAGAGCCTGCATGCTGCACTCAACAGAGGTGATTCACTGCTGCTGTTACCACTGCTGAACGCATCATCCACTGTTTGGTCTCCATAAATGTTCAGTAAGCATTGATAATGTAAGTGGGTGCCATTTTTTTCAGCAAGGAGGAATTCAGTGACACACCTTTGTTTCATCTGCACTGTCTTGTCAGACGCCATTGCGTCAAACAGCCTCTCTGCTGCCATCTGTCACATGACAGCAAAGTGTAACTGAGTATTTTTTGGGAAGGTTCAACCTCTACTGCCCTTCCACCAACAGTGCAATAAAACAGTTGGCATTATTTATAGAGCAGCTCTCATGCTACTATATGTCGTAGTTTTTTTGTGAATATTGAGCAATATTTGTGTGTCCCTGCTTTCCCATATTCATATAATAAACTTTTTGTTACTTTATGGCTAGTCGTTATTTTATTACAAATAATCTGATTAATGTAACAAAAAGAAAATGAACTTCATTTAACATGTAGATTGACCAATGTATTCATGTATTTGGTTTGAACCACTATAATTAGGTATAACAGTATTTAAAAGAGGTAGGGTTTTGGTTTTTTTTTCAGTTACATATAATCTTTGCATTGACATGTAAAATCCAAATGGCTGCACAACCTAAACTGAAGTGATATAATAGTCCTTCACACATAAACTACTTGAAACTGTGTTTGGCATTAACAACTGAGAAAAACAGTTTTTTGTGTGTTTAATTTTATCTGAGAGCTACACAGTTTGGTTATATTGCCAATGTTGAGGTAATATAGCAAATCAGTCAGTTTCTTTGCCTGTCATCGCAGTCTGAAATAAGGAAGTGAAGAAAGAGTTTGTAAAAGGGAAAAACATGTTTTGTTTTCGTTTTGTGTCAATAATTAAGTTCTCAGAGACCCAGAGAAAGAGGCTATCTGTATCAGCTGGTTTCTAGGGCATTATTTTGGGATGTGGAACGGTTTTATGCCTTTACTACAAAGGCAGCAGACAGCAAACTGAACATGGTTACACTGCACTCTACAGAAATGTGTGTATACATGTATTCCAAGTAGATACCTCATTTTTTTCTCTCCTTGAATGCTGTCCTGGATATAAGGAACTTATCCTAAACTCCCTTCAACTCAAGTATTAAACTTAGGTCATTTCTTTAAATTGAGATAGAGCACAGAAAAAAAAGAATCAGATCAGTCTAAGCAATCCCCATTGAAAAATGATGATGAGTTCTATTTGTTATGGGTGCTTGGACATGAAGCAGTTTCTTTCTCTTGTTTGTTTTAATTGTATTTGAAAAGACTAAGAAACCTTGCCTTAACTTTTGTTGAATTTGAAGAATGTTATGGGAATCACAGTGGGCACTGGAGCCCGTAGGTGAAAAAGTTTGAGAGTAATTGCAGGATTCTGTTAGGTCAGGAGATTATTTTAGTTTTCTGAAAAATAACTTGTTTGCTTTGTTCTGCTGAAAGAAACTGCTTGCTCCATGGTTTGTATGGTTCCAGTGTTGTCATTAGGAATAATTAAAAGAAAAGTAAGTAGAAGTACCAGAGAAGTGTAGATTAAAAATCCCTTGGCTACCATATAAATAGTTGAAAGTCCAAATAGTTAGAAACACAAATCCTTCAGGATAACATGTAGGGCTCTAGCAGCTTCTCCTGCCAAGTGCCATATATTAGAGGAAGAAGGGAAGTGACAATAAGGTAAACTAGATGTGCTTCTGTGATGTTACGTACAGCAGTGTTGCTATTCGTACACCATTTCATTTTGATTCGGTAGGATTATCTCATAGTGACTATTTGGACACTTAATAGCTTTGCTTATATCAACTGTTCTGCTTTATGTTCTTTAATCAGTTGTGGAAACCAATAATTGAGAATGGCATTTCTCATATTGAATAATTTTAAAGGAGTTGATTCTGTAAGTAGTAGTGTTAAATACTGTGCAAGTGTGCCTCATTTTTATAATCGCTCCTTTTTCAGAAATGTAGATAATCATACTGGAATTAAAAGCTTAACGTGAGCTCATCTTGCAGATGCATTTATTGTAAACTACTACTGACCTATATATGAACAGTGTTTGAATGCTTCATTTTTAAAGCTAATTTTCATAATTGAAAGGGCAAATTGTCTTTTTGTTGACCAGAAAAGGAGGTGAGGGGTAAGGAAAGGTGAAGATGTTATCAAGCATGCCAAAGTTACTAACAAAACAGTATATGCTTTGTTTTTTAATTTGTGTTGTCTTAGAGATTAACTGTTCAAACAGAAGAAATCCCTCAGAGTATTATGACTAGCTTGGGAAATTCAGTTGTTACTGTAGGCTTACTCTCAGATGAGAACTACAGCAGTTCTGTGTGGTAAAACATTCTCTCTGAGTAAACAAATACTCTGTTTGGTGGCCTATTTAAGTAGCTGTTGGCCTGTAAATGTAGAGCAGTTTGAGTGTGTGAATGCAGTTAGTAAGCATAACCACATATAACAAAGACTACAGACAAATTTAGGAACAAGTGAACTAGCAAGTTCAAAAAAGGCACTCCGTTGCTCTACTACTTCTTGCCCATACATGTAAAGTCTTCTGTCAGAAAAAGACCTCCATTTTTAAAGACATACAAATCAAAGACACATATTATAATAAAATATGATTGATTTTCATTTTATTTTCTCTGAAAGTTAAACTTGCTATTGTATCTTGTTACGACTATTTAAAGGAATAGACATAGATCCTTAGCACAAACAGGAGACTATCAAGATGGCAACTTCAGAGAATTGCGTAACTTGATTGTTTAATGAACAACAGGGCATCTTAAAAGTGTACTGCTTCCAACTTGAAGCTTATTAGTGTAAGTTTGTTTATAAAAAGGGATGATCTGGGTTCAGAGTGTTCCACTAGCAAACTTTCTTGCACTGTTTCAGCACGCTGTTACACTTTTTGGACATGAATTCTTTGTTGAGCCCAGCCCAGGTGATCAGGATTTTGGGATCTGTATGTCTTAGGAGTTTAAACAACAGCAGATGCTAATCTTTTACAATCCAGTATGCCAGTTACTGAATCATATTCTTTTTTAAAAAGTTTACGCTTGCAGAGACATAAGATTGCAGATATTTCTGTGTCTCCCTTTAGTCCTGCATGACTTTTATCAAGTGTCTGTCTGATAAGGTAAGCAGGTGATTGCATTTTCTTTTAACTTGTTTCTCATTTAAAGGTCAAACGGGCTTTTGCTTAGCCATCATTTTTTGTTACTTAACCTAAAAAATCTGCTTTTTTTCTACACAGTTGTCTCTCATCATCAGCGTTAAGGATTGTCATTGTAAAGCACAGAAGATACCAATAGAGATTTTTATATCTGGCAAAGGAATCT